GTATTGTAAGCCGTTCCGAAAATGTTGGCACGTGTCACATAAATCCGTTCTTGGACTCATGATTTGAATATAAGGCGGTAATTGGTGCCACAACTTGCGGAATGCGTCATATTTTAATAATTTCAATGTGCTATCATTTTCCAGACCTGCAATAAAATCACGATAGACTGACTTGTAACTTGTTTCAGCTGGCAATAGTGTAAGCGATTGAGTAATGCGATTGACATTTCTACCAGGACTTGGTAGCCCATGAATTTCCGCATAGTTTTCAAGAAAATTCTTCACAGCAGTAGCAACACTTACATCGATGGTTATTTTAGTTTTCCATCGCGGCACTCGTTTTATGTTACCGTGAACGCGCGGTATTATACCATTCGTCGCTAGGTGATTTCTGACGTTTTCCAAATGAGTGCGGCCAATTCCTAATATGTTTTCTGATAAAGTGGCATATTGCGATCTCAATAGTAAAATGTTCGCTTATTAGTGCGCGTTTTCTTTTTAAGACGTCGACTGACAGTTATTTCATTGCTTTCAGCTGGGCCATTAAAAATATACATATGTATCTTGTTTGGATCTAGAGAGAGCTTGAAATGCTTCACGTAATTCGGCAAACTTCTCTCTTAGAATCATTTTCGAGCAACCGCAATTGCAACCTATCTCCAAAAAATGAATTGCTTTTTTATATTCGGTGGAAGCGCTACATCCACTATTTTTCATATACGGGTAACCCTATATATAATTTTTATCAATTGTGTAAGATATTTTGGCAAGGATTTAGTTCCTAATTAACTTTTTATAATTTCCAGCAAACGCCTTTCTTTCAGTTCTTTTAACCTTAGTACTAAACGTCCGCAACAGGTAATCGCCGATATTTAATCACTAACTAGGATTTTCACTACTATTCGGCTTATTCATTTTTTTTGGATTAACCCTTATGCTAAAAGTGCTAGCCAGCACATCATGCAAAGACTTCTTTTGCTATTAATTATTAGTATTAGCTAATTTTTAAACCACATTTGTACATGCTAGGCCTAACATATAATCAATCTCTCAAATAAAGTAGCTGTTGAACAGATGTACATCATGTTCAGCCTGTATAGGTTTAGCTGGTTGAGCATTAACGTGCTATCGAATTTCTGGGTTCATAAAATGAGGATACTGAATCTGACCTGCCAATCCAGCCCAATCAAAATCTACGATCTTTACTCGTCCATCATCATATTTTCGCCCCTCAAATCGCCATGTGCATATCCCAAGTCATGGAACGAGTTCATCCTGTAACCACATTATCCTTTACCCCTACTCTGTCATCAACATCTGTCAGCATCCTCCAATTGTCTGGTAAATACTCCATTAACAGCTCTATCAAGTTCGTCAAACCCCAACAATGCCGGTGCAAATCCTTTTTCAGCTACATTAACGTGAGCTTGTTGTAGTCCATATCGCATGGTAAACTTGACAAATACCAGACGATCTGCTGTTTTTGCTACATAGAGTGGTCTTTTATCAATAAGACGGCGTATGTAAGCGAATGAAGTAGGATTACTAGCTGACTCAAGACTGCAGAAATCTCGGACATATGGAAAAGCTGCCTCCCAACGGACACTATTGTCTGATGCAGACAGTTTCTGACGATAAGATTCATGGAGATTTGCTTAAAAGCTTAAGTTAGTTCTATCCTGACAATTTGCATCAATAAATTTTCTTTTCAGATATTATTGTTGTGCATTTCATCACCCTTTTTTTTCTGGAAATAGGATAAACATTGAACACCATTCGTGTTCCATATCAGCATATTAGTCAACAAGTATTGTTATAATTGGCGTTAATTATATAACTTTCAAAAATAATGCCGATAGTAGAACCCGTCATCCTATTGAAAACAAATGATAGGTATTTTGCACGACATTGATGAATTCGACGGTAGATGTTGAGTAAAATTCTATTGAGTACTCGTGGGAAAACCAAAGTTGTGACAGGTTATTATAATCACACGACTGACAGAAGTTACCTAACGATAATGGAACAAAGGGACAAGCAAATCCCAATTGTCATACATCTCAAAAGCTTAAAAGGACTAGTGAAGCAACAGAAATGTGTATGCTTGCAGGGATTTCCCGAGTTGCTTAATAAACATTCATTTTCGAACTAAAAAGTGTCTCTTTAGAATATCGACTATAACAGAGAACGATCAATAACTTGCATTAAACTCCCATACATATTTTACAAGTGATCATCATTCTGATACCGTCAATCCTCGGCCGGCGAATATCATAAACTCGACCAAATAATGAAGAGACAAGCATTCGGTGCATAGGCATAAATGTCGACTAGTGTACTTGCAATCATAAAATTTGCCGTAAGCGATAACGTAGATCAATCAGTCACGGGCCAAACAATTTTTGGCAACTGTTACACAAACATGCGGGGTAAGCAATGCATGGGTGCGCTGGCGAGATCAGTGTCAGTGCACTTTCGCTCAAGCCCCGCTGTAAATGCATTCAACAATACTTTTTGCTCGTTGGTAATGCAAGGAGATGTCGAATATGAACAAACATTTATTGTTTAATGCATATCATCTAGTGTTTTCCTGCGCATGTGTCTAATTTAATACTCATGCAAGAATGTTTCAATCGACTTCTAAAAATACACACATCTAAGGAGAAGAGTACGCTAAACTATTCCTATTCTTCTAAAGATTGTTCCATTGCGTAATTGAACGCTTAATTGGTTCATGAATGCCGAGCAATATAAATAAACGCTCATTTAAAAAGTTACCTAACATGCACATAGTCATCATAATAATGCTGAACAAATTCTACTATTGTTCTCTCCTGCAGCGATGGCACCAGGAGGTGTTGCTTTACATCGTTGTTTGCCTTTTTATGACTCGGGAGAATATTAAAATCGGTTCACGAACCTTTTCGAGTCAAATATGGTACCCCTGCTTTAATTTGTACGACGTAGATTATCTATTGTTCTCAACCTGCCTGCGTATCGTAGACTTGTTCATATACACGTATATGAGACTGTTTACGCAACCAAAATGGTTATGTATTTGTTACCAGTAATTCAATGGCAATAACACTGTATAAATAACAATTTATCCAGACTATAAAATAAATCTTTGTTGATTATTTGTGTTCTCTTCACCGAGAATACAACATTGTGTCTTTATGTTTTGTTATCTGCGTCCGGTTGTATGTACATTACATCATATGACGCACAGTAAAGAGGTCAAGTAATATAATGTGTTCATAAATCAAACCATATGTACTTCCAAACTTCATTATTGATTTAAAATAGGCAAGCTAGTATATTACTTGGCAGCCATGTGGGATTGTTGCTCGGGTAATCTCGATAAACAACGAAACAAACGTATTTGTTGTTCTCGCGTAGAAGTTTTGGATGTAAGTGTTTTTAATTATTATGTAAGAATGGCAGGACATTGAGTCATTAATATAAATATTATAATAAAGAATAAATTAGCAATAAACAAGTGTTTCTTTTGATAACAAACACACGATACTACGCGCAGCAAACCCTGTTTAATTATAAATATAGTGGGCTTCTTCTTAGAGTCTAGCAAATCAATCATGCCAGTTAGTCGAGAGAGAAGGAAACAGTTGCGGGAAGAGAAAAAAAAACGAAAAGCAAATGTTCGTCCAGGGAATGGATTTATGCAATTTCGCAGAGTTGTGTCTAGTGCAGTTGCAGGAGAACAAACTGCAATAAATCAAAATGAGCTATCCAAGATTTTGGGAGATATTTGGGCGTCGTTAAAACCGGAGGAGCGCAATTCATTCGAATGGAGTCAAGAGCTTTTGCAAGCATTGCATACCAACACCGCTTCCAATAATAATAGTCGTCCCCGCCAAACATGGATTGGAGGCAACTTTATTTTAACAGAATACCAAAAACCACCCAGTTAACTCACATTCGCATGAGAATAAGCCAAGCAAGCGACCTCGCATTATGCGTACCGAATTTATGATTACAGTGGACACTCTAAATACATGCTTTCTATGCCAATAGCACTTCTTCTTTTTTTACAAGGGGAGCTAAATCAACTGTACGATGTATTGGGAAAATAAGCTGCCATTCTATGCTAAGTTGAATAAAATGAACTACAACTAGAAAAAATGTTCCGTATTACTATTGTATGTAAGGTTTATTATGACTAATACATAACCAGGTATTAGTTCATAATGCATAGCACAAGGATGAAAAGAAGATTCGTAAATATATGTACTATTTATTTATTTATTTATTTATTTATTTATATGTATCTATTATCACATATACCTGTATTATGACAATACAGTTTACTTTAATCTCCACATAAACAAATCATGATTATCCAATAAAGGAAACGTAATACAGTCACGGGCCAAACTTGTTTGGCGTAATCAAATACGGGTGATGCTTCATAGACTATGTGTTCTATAATATAAAGATTACGGAATAATATCATCTTAAAAATATTACCGATTGTCGCATGAGAAACCTTGTCCGTGTCTAGACATGAGAATGCTGGGTAGTAAGTACTACACCGTCGCTAACATAATCTACTCTCTTAATTTGGCATTGCTTTTGCCACTCTGTTGGGATTGCCGGGCCTATGACGCCTTACTTGTCTTGTTAATAGCAGGTTGATCTCTTCACGTGTACAGCTATGGGACTTTCCATTTTGAATACATTAGCAAATTATTCGGTTGCTATATTAGTCATCATTTGTGGCAATGAAATTAATTTACCAGAACTGGAAGTCAAGAACAACCCCATACATTTATTTTCAATGAATTTTGCATTCTTTAGTAAAATCACTTTCCTTCAACGAAACCCGTACAGCAGGGAGAATTGTCACACATTCCCCATTTGTTATTGTTATATTTCAATTATTGGCACACCTGATGTTTCACGTGAATCATAACAAGTAATGTGAACACTGAGAAATTGTGACAACTTAACAATGAGATATAGAAATATCAGCCTTGGTGTGTTGGCGAATCAGAATGATTTTAATTTACCTCAAAAGTGAATTATTGAATGGGTGGATAACAATTGCAGATGTCGACATTGTTCTTGTGTGCCAATTGTCATTATCGACGGGATAATAGTAACACAAATTAACCAAGGGGAATATTATTATTATTATTATTCACTCATAACTCATGACTGCTTAGAAGTCGATCAATAGTTGCGTCAAGACATAACAGTGTGATAATGCACCAATTGTCACATTTATGTCGCAACCCGTGAGACGCGAGCCATTTGACTGATATTCAATGATCAGACGTAAATTTATGAATCACAAATACCAGGTGCCAATAATATCTCACACGTCCCAACTATAAATATAAATTTTGTTGTTAAGTTGCTGCGCGTATTAATTGCATGGTCATTTGGATAACAATGACATCATGCGTCGTCTTTATGGTATCCCTCCTTTCAAAAAACGACCTAGCTATATTGGTCATAACTTTGTGTTATGGAAGTTGTTTGCCAGGTAAACTCAACAAACGACGCCACAAAGCCGACCATGCGTTCGTAGACAGTCTTTAATTATTGGTGTTCGGCGATAGAGCACAATACAGACGTGAATAGGAGAGTAAACAATATGTGCCGTAATAGTAGCGAGCAAATATATTTTGAACCTAACCAATTTAAATATTACATAAAAGTTATTTAACTGACTTTCTTATATAAGAGGGCTTTTCCCATTCCTAACGACCTGTCCTCAGCAAATATGCCGTCGTGTCCTGAAAGACGTCGATACGCTCGATTATTGAGACGCCTAGAGGCCGGGTTTCGTCCAACTAACGCATTCATGCGTTTTCGAACGGACGTCTCGTTGGCATTGGGGCCGATTGCTCATCAAACAGTAATATCAGCCATCGCCTCGGACATGTGGCGAGAGTCCTCCGCCGAGCAACGGCTATATTACGAGTTATTGGTGGAGTATGAAAGAGAGCAATATCGCAATCGTTGTTCAAATGTTCGCCCAAATTCAGAAAATATCGTGCCGCGAACCCATTATATGGGTGACAATATGTTTATTGTAACATTCAACCCTAGTTCCACTTCCGTGAACCAGGCCTCTGAGGACAACCAGGTTTCTGAGGACAACCAGGTCTCTGAGGATAACCAAGTCTAATGATAACTACGTCTCTGATGATAACCAGGTCTCTGATAATGACCAAGCCTCTAACGATAGTAATTAGCTCATTCTGAATATTTAAATTGTTCAGTTCTGATTTCAGCCTCGGAAAAAGTTTCGTTAATCGTTCGACTTACGCTGAAGACTACGACTCTCTCTCCCCTTCCCCTTTTTTGTCGTCTTTAAGATTATTGTAAGCTGCAATAAATATAAGAAAATAAGCATAGTTGTCACAGTAAGCTCTTTCGATGTTAATTAAGAAGTCAAATCAAATAATAAATATGCAAGATTTTTTTTGTTGAATAATGTCCAATCAGTTTAATTTAATGAGAGCTCAAATTCAATTCAGATGTGAGCATGCGCCACGGTATGTATAAATCAAACAATAATGCATGAACAATATCGCAGAGTAGAATAATCAAACGGAAGATAACTCCGTGAATTAAAAATGTTTTCTATTTACAGAGAAGGTTGGGGGCGGTGCTGTTAGGAGTTTAAATCCGATAAAGCAGCGGATTTATATTGTATTGTTGCGTCTATTTATAATCCACGCTTTCATGCGGTTTATTATATTACGGTTCAATTCAAATCCGAAGCGTGTGCATTCTAGAAAAAAGAAGGAACGGTCCCAAGTCCGTAAATTAATTCCAACCCGTTAATCAACATGTACTTATACGACCATGTCTTTGTTATAGAATTGGGGAATGGATCATCTTTATTCCTGTTAGAGTTTACTTATATGCTACTAAATAAACTGAATTGAATTATTATAAATTGTGAAGTTCATATATATTAATTCTATTATCACGCTATCCGTCGTGTCTATTAACACCAACATATACATCAATGCTATTACGACTTTGGCAAAAAGCCAACAGTATATTCAAAATTATTACTTATACTATATGTAGTAGACAATAGAGGGAAAAGCTGGTTAATTCAGAATGTTTCAGAGATTTTATTCTTACAGAGAGGGTTTTGCAAAGTCGAAATGCCCCGCCGTACGAGATAGTCGTTAATTTCTATTATTAAATAGGAACTTTCTAATTTCATTCGCTCACCTCGAACAATAATAATAATTTATTGTCTTTGACATTACGGTATAACTCTGATTGCCTAATACTAATAAGATAAGCACACTCCATAATAATAAATGAAACAGGCTAAGGTTTGAGTCCAAAGTGTATGTATGTATGTATGTATGTATGTATGTATGTATTGTATGTATGTATGTATGTATGTATGTATGTATGTATGTATGTATGTATGTATTGTATGTATGTATGTATGTATGTATGTATGTTACGTATGTATAGCGCTGTTAAATATTTAAAAAAAGCGAGCTAATTATAAGCCGAAAGACATAACATATGCTACAACAAATTTGTCAAAATTGGCAAGTTCTAGATTCCACCAAACATAGAACGGGCTCGCACTATTAAATCCCGCATTCTCCTTTCCCATCGTATGATACAAATGAATATTATTCTCGTTTATTAATAATTATTATTATGGAGATTCAACGTGAACTCTACGAAATAAACATTAAAAGTTGTATAGTGTGTAGCAGTTTGAATCTACTGAATTCATCTGTTGCGACAGAATCCATATATTCCTAACGTTCCATATTAATTTTCCAAAATATGATAAATGATAGAAAATGACTCACACAATTAATTTATTTAGCTCTAACTGTTGTCGCATCAACTAGCTATAATCTATACGTCACCCCCACCCCAATGTACAATCCAAAGAATGTGGCTAAATTACATTAACATTGTCCATACAAAAAGCCTACACTACTGATCGTCATAGCCCTTTATTGTCCTTTACACTGTTTTCGCTATCCTTATTCCCTTCCTTCTCTCCATCGTCCTTTTTCTCGAATCCACCTTCCAAACTTCTTCTCTTCTCCAATCTATTCCTTCGTGTACTCGTTTCACCCAATCCAAAACCACTTCCATTATTTTTGTCTCGCGGGGGTAAATCTGAAACTGATGCACTCATGCGCAGTGCCTGCTTCTCGATCTTTGTTAGTTTCTCCACAGGCGCTTCGTATCTCGAAGAAGATAGCGACTCGGACTGTCGGCGATGACGGGGAGACAGCGGTTGATTGGGATTCCAAGTAGGATCAACATCGACCAGGAAGAATCTTACACCATCTGGAAGTTCATAGGCTGACGTTTGCGGGTTCTGAATTGAAAACATCACAATATTATTAGAAAGTCCTAGGGAAAAACAACCAATATTACTATCACTGGAAGGAAATTCTTCTGGACATCCACCTTTGAATCGGCTACTTGTTCTGTAATATTCAAAATACGTCTAACAGTAAACATCTTATTTTGTAATTGTGGTTCTAACATCTCGTTGCTGCGTAAGAAGTAATGGGGAGCATTGACATTGAAAGCAGCCCACGTCTTTGTCGTATTTTGTCTAGTCGGAAGAAACAGTGCGATATCGCTTGGTCTGAAACTGGTAATAATGAAGAGACCATTAAAAATTAGCATTCAAAGAAGCTTTAACCACACTTTGAATTTGCGTAAACACTTACTTTCTGAATGCAATCTTGTCTTTCGCATCTTGGCTCGCTTTCTGGTACTTTTCTGTAAATTAAATACTTCACGTCATTCAAATATTTTCGTTTACCCCATTCTTCTTCTCAACCGCAGACAAACGCTTACCTCTAGCAGTTTTTAAATCTTTCTGAGCCTTCTTCAGCAAGCTTTCCGCATCTTTAACTGACCGCTTGATCCAGCCACAAACTTCATCCAAATTCACCGTTTTAGCAGCGTTCGCTATCTTTTCATATTCTTCTATTAGCATCTCCTCTTTGCTTGTTTCCGAGACCGTTGCAGCAGCCAGATTGTCCACGGATTCAACATCTTCTCTTGACATGTCAGAGTTGGAAGTTGAAGAGAAAGTCGTGGAAGTACTTGATATGGGTGAGAGAGGAAGTTGCTTATGAAATGATGACATGAGTGAGTGGAAATGTGTGTAATAGTCGAGTAACAAGCAAGCGACTAGATGGCATGCTTTGGAGTAACGCGAGTAAGATGAACGAAGTGTTTTGAAAGATGATTGAAGGTCGGCGATCGTTTTCTGGAGTTCGGTTTGCATCTTGTCACGTTTGGCGGCGTGTGACGTTGCTTTCTGGTTCATCTACAGAAATTTATGGGTTAGAATCGTGTATAACAGACAGGAATCAGAAATAGTAACCAACCTCTTCTAGCTTTTGTTCGTTTGATTTATACTCCATCTCTTTACTCTCGATCTTGAGATTCAGCTCCTTTACTTCTTCTTGCAGCTTTTGTTTTTGAGCGCGCATTTCTCCCAAAGAGGTCTCATATTCCACATGCTGTTTTTGAAAGCGTTGTTAGCTTGTATACTTATTATACAATAGACAAGCACTACTAACAAACCTCTTGTTCCCGTTTCGCTACCAGATCGTTTAATTCGGTTTGTAAATTACGAGTTTGTTCGAGAAGACTTTCTGACTCCGATCGTAGAGCATTTATTTCATTTTCTAGTACAGCTCGTTGCTTCATCTCACCATCAGAACTTTCTCGTCTTTTTTCAAGCTAAATAAGAGCGCCGACATTAAGTCTACGATAAATCGTCAACGTTATAAACATTAAAAAATGTCATACCTCAGCCCGACATTGCCCAAACTCGTATTGTATCTTCTTGTAAACTTGTTCCAAGTCTGCATGTTCGTGCTCCTTAGCGCTTGCTTGTGATTTGGCTTCTTCTAATTGTCTAGTCAACGAAGCCTTTCCCTCTTCGTAAGCCTTTATTTCACCTGTCAGCTCGCTTTCTATCTCTTTCAGCTTCGACCGCAAAGATGCCATCTCTTTTTCATTCGAGTGGTGTAAATCTGAATATTGTGCTTGCAAGTTTTTTGTCTTGTCCAACTCGGTATGATACAATGATTCGAATTCTTTCCGTTTATATTCCTCAGCCTCGAGACGCTTTTGCAATTGGTCGATTAGTTCATCCCGTTCGTTCAACTGTTCCGTTAATCGCTGTTCAATGTTTTCGCTGGTGTTTTTGTGAAGCATTGATTCCGAAATTCTTTTTTCCGTTTCCTCCTTCAATTGATCGGATATATTGCGGTTCTGTTCTTTCAACAAGTCATTCTCTCTTTGTATATCATTTAAACGAGCCTCTAGTAGTAGTTGATCTTGATTAGGCACGGCACTCGTCTTTTTCAAAGTTTCAACCTCACGCACACTATCTTTGTAAGAAAGCTGTAGCTGACGATACTTTTCATCAAGGTCATTAGCGCGTTTCTCAGCCACTTCTTTCTCCTCTACTGCCATCGCGTGTAATCCATCCAGCGCTTGCATGTGAGCATCTAGTTCAGTAGCCTTTTTCGTTAAGACTTCATTTTCCTTAAGAGCTATGCTATAAGATTCCTCAACTTTTCTCGAATTTTGATAATTTGTCTGTAACTTGCTTTCAAGACCTTTAATTCTTGATTCATAATTCTGGAAAAAAAACCCCCCAGGTATATATTTAGTATATATTTAGTATATATTTAGTATATACCTACAAACAATAAGAAGACAGACCTTGAGCTTATTTTCAGCCAATTCCAGCCTTTTTGACTTGTCTAAAAGCAACGATTCGGAATCGACTTCACTTTCAGAAAAACTTTGTCGCGATAGGCGTTTCGCGCTGCGAGATGCCTGTCCTCTTGCGGGAACAGCTAAAGTACTATAAGTTGATATCGTACGCGACGACGTTGAAACATCCCGATCTGTGAGCAGTTTATCTGAGACTACAATTGAAAAGAAACACCATCAGTTCACAGGCTCAGAAAGATATACTCTCAAACAAGCACGGATAACTTACAGCTATTTCTTATTATGCGCTCAAATTCAACGCTCATGCCATCTATTTGACTAGACATTTTCAATAAGGCATTTTGCAGTTGTGTCACTGGATCGTCATTTGCTTGATTGTTGCCAGTCATCTTGTGTGTCGATACTCGCATTTGTTCGAGCATGTTGACGAATTCTAATACACATCGAGCGTTAGCTTCATGTCAATAAATTGGTTACCAAAAAATTAAGCACACCTCGAATATCTTCTTTAGTAAGTTCTGGTAAACGGCCTTTGCGATTTACCGTAGAAATCTCACACATCGGTGGAGCGTCATCAAGTGCTGTACAAAAAGATGTCAACATAGGGACATAAAATACGACGCATGAATTATACGATCAACGTACCCGCTATATGGAAGGGCATATATCTTTTTACGTTGAGACGATATGTATCTCGGCGCTTCTGCTCGGCATTTCGGAAGAGACTCAATACTTCTGCTAGTTTCTGCGACCTTTCAAGAAGGATCTACAATGTACAATGTCACGCCGAGGCGGCGGTCAGTTTCATATTTAAACTTACGTTTAAACATTAGAAATATATGCATTACATACTCTCACGTATTCTTTCCGCCTCACTATTTCAACAACTGTTAATCCCTATTAAAATAAAGCTTTAATAAAAGGATATACGAGAACGATATAACACAGAGAAGACTTCGTAATATTACATATGCAAGAGGCATCTCATGCACGATGGACAAATCTTTGAAAGTATGAGTTGCATTCTTGATTTCTGCATCCAAACGAGACAGTGCAGATGGTATACTAGCAATGCTTGATTGCACCCGCGAAATCCCTCGGAGACTATCCATCACCGCACCCGTCATGGCATTCTACAGTTAGAACAACAGACATTATATAAGATTCGAACCAAACTATCAAATGCAGTAGTTACAGGAACCGACCTTTCGTTGTATAAACCATATGACCTGGTCGCGTAAGCTCTTGTCGAACTTACCCATGTCTTGAAATACAAGCATACGAGAATTTAGTAGGGGCCTTCTCTGTAATGACTATACATGGACAATAAAAAGAGATACAATACCAGGTAAATAGTCATCTTCGTGTATTGTAGCCAGACGTTCAATTGCATCAGTTGACGATCTAGTCAATTCCTGAGCTTTCTCTCGTATTCGCCCTATGTCTATTTGCGGATATGTATCAGATAGTTATTTTCCAATTGAAATATGGTTAAATTCATAACTCGTCCAACAAAAATACCTCGCTGCAATCTGTCATTCAACTCTTTTATTTTTTCATACGTCTGTCGTGCCTTGCTTAATTCAACGTCCATTGAAAGGAATCTGTTTACAAGACATTTCCTTAGATAATGCGAAACATAACATACAAAGTTCTTTCGAATTTTCAAGATACATACTCGGTACCATATTTTTTCTGTTTCAACTCGTCTGTGGTTACCTGTACATTACGGACAGTACGTTCCAAATCACCGATGCGTTTTTTCAATTGCTCTGAATCGATGTTCGCGAGCATATCCATAGAGCTTAGTCGTCGATAACAAGTAATTATTACTAGGAAGAATCCATTAAAATCTTACCAAAAACAGCCTTTCCACTCTTCTCCAGCTTAAGTAGATCTTCTTCAGATATGAAACTTGCTAAAGTGTGAGATTCATTTTGCTGTGGTATCAAACCAGCAACTTGCATAATTTGAGGATGAATCTTTATACGTTTAAGCACCTCCAGGTCTACTGAAACGCTATTAAGTATATAAAACATTTAGCCATAATGCATACATGTATATTAGACGCATCCTCGATAATCGCATACTTAAAAATTAATCCGGACTGCTCTGCAACCTCCTTCTCGGCTGAGTCGTGAAACGCCTGATGTAGTTCAGTTATAGACCTACAGAAATTCAACTCAGTACAGGGTGTGTAATACAGACATGTGAACCTCGTCACGCACATCATACTAACTTATTATGAACATCCAAGTTTTCCATTGCAGCTGTCAAAGCCTTCGCTTGAACCTTTTGTTCGGTAAGCAGTCGTTCACATAATTCCAAATGTGTTTTGGCAGACAGTACATATTTCTGGAACATCAAATAATTTAGATCTCGTGCTCATAATGACAAATTATCGAGAATTCGGAAAACATAAGAAAGCCCACCATTCCGTGCTCATTATGTTTCTCAAACAATTCAATGTACGCAGCTATGCTAAACGTTCGCCAATTCGCGCGTAATTGTACCGACTGCCATACTGACAACATTCGTATCATACCAAGGCACATGTTAGACAAAGCAAGTATTTGTCAATAATGCGATTCGATCCAGGATCAAAAGTTCTCTTTTATTGAGATTAACAAATATTATCTTACAAGGTATTTGAGGTTGTAAACTGGCAACTTCACGCAAGGTCGTATTATCTACCACATTCGTCGTATTAAGCAATTCGCGACTGAACAAATATACTATTGACTCATTCTTTCAAACAAATCAAACACTCATATCAGATCATTCAATATTCAAGCAAGAAAACTATAGAGAGAGTGCCATATTTACCTCTCCAGAAGTACGAAGAACTTCCTCCACTTTGTCGGCTTTCACAGGTAGGCCGTCACCCGTCATTAATATCTGCATATTCGCCGGCACGCCCGAGGCGAGCTCCACTGCAGCCTTTATGCTCTCTAAACTGCCAATAACATATGAATAAAGGTCAAAAACAGTATTAACTTTAACTTAATGTACCGTTATGTAAACTTCCTTTATTCATACACAAGCACCTCAGCTTTTCCGGGTAAACAAAAGGTAGTTGTGATTAACGTACTCTGTGGAAAAATTGTCCACGTGCAGACGTTTACCGGTTTCTGCGCGATATATTTTCATCTTCTTAAGTGAGTGTATGAAAGGAGGTAAAGAGGGAAAGGGAAATATGTAGTTTACTGTCAGTATTCCTTTGTAATATGCGTTTGCATGACATAAGTGTGTAACAAACGGTGACGTATATATTTTTGATATTCGGAAGACACGTGGAGTCGAAGAAAGCCGAAATTTTGGTTTCCCAGTGCTTCAAAGTACTGGCATTCCATTCATACACTTTCTTGCCGAATGCAAAGATGTCCACGCGAGACCGTTGCCTATTTTTTGGGACAGGCCTTGCCTCAGTAATTCTCGTTTACTCTGTGATCAGGCACCTTAGAAGTCTTCCTGCAGGCACCGGAATGAGCGAATTGATTAAAAATGAGCCCAAAAAGCTTGAGAATGGTAGTAGAATTCTAACAAGTCGATGGAGATTTTTTGAACATGGATAGTACTGTTGCCTGGGATTTTTATAAAAATAATTTTTGGCATACTGATTTACAATTGACATTCTCTCTTCCTGGCCTATTGACTTGATCAATTCGTGTTATTATGCTTGTCAATCAGCTCTCACGATTCGCGCTCTTTCCGAATTAACGAGAGCTGAAAATATTAATTTGCGTAACAGGTAACGTAGATTAGTTAGATGAATGGCCCATATTTTTTTATATCTAATATGATTTCGGAACATAGTGCGATTCGCATATTACTGGACAGAGCAATGTCAGGTATGTTATGATTATATAATAAAGACTATATATTTTTTACAATCACATTTTTTGTCTATCTATATGTGAGCACTATTACAATGTGATTTTATTATTAGACGATTTTCTTGGAGATGTAATATCTTCTTGTCGAAATCCCCATGAGGAGAGACGTATGGAAGCGGTTATTACACTACAATTGTTGTCACGCACTGGTCAGTTGATATATTACCTTTGTCGCGTACATAACGCGTTTACTGTCGTGGAATAAGATGACTAGCAGTCATTGATACTGTTAAAATTTTTTTGATATACTAGAGGAGAACAAAGCCACGTTAGTTGAAAATAATGCGCTGGAAGTGTTAGTAGGACTCCTCCGACAAGAGGATAATCGTGAAACAACTCATAGATATGCGGCTATTGCTCTCTGTGATCTGATGACAGGACAAAGTATTTATCCAATCTTATGCTGCACGCGTACATGTGAATTGCTTATAATGACTAAATTTGTAACTATATCAATTCGCTGTCAAAACAGACGTACGTAAGATTAAAGTCGTGGAACTAGGTGTGATTCCACCTTTGATACAAATACTCGAGTCAACTAGAGAACTGTTGGACAGTGAATTAAAGTCGTGGTGTGTGATGGTGGTCCATCAGATCTCGATGTGCGGTAAGTTGATGAATTGACTGTATGGGATTGTGATTAGGTCCGCATACTGATGTTGCAGTTCAACCGAACTATTTCTTGTTGCTAGAGCAACTCCATCAGCCATTGGGGGCTGCCGGATTTGTTCCAATATTAGCAAGAATGTCGTGGGAAACACTTGGCAGTACGACAGTGCCCAAGTTCTGTATGCAGGCTTTAGTTAGAATATTGTCTACTATGTCTGCTGCTGGTGAGAGAACATGCTTAGGAAACTTAAAATTGAAACTGATTCTTTAATCATTCTAACAATCTAACCACAACAGAGGCCAAGCAATATCTCCATCAGTTACTTGACTGTAATATTGTCATGTTGATAGCCTCCTGTCTGAAGTCAGGTAATAATTTTTTTATTCATTTTTGCTATATTATATCCTTACTGATTTTTTTTTTTACGGTATGATGGTACCTTCTTCTCATCGAAGCTCAGCTGAAGCTCTCGAGCATTTCGACCGAAGATACAGAGCTACTTTACTGGGCGCTGGGTTTGATGCACGAGTTTGTCGTGAAAGGTAAGTTGATATTGCTAATCAATCACGAATATAAAACTAATAGATTCACACAGTGAGGAATCTTTCAGACATCGGACAGAAGGAATTTCGTGAGATGCGCAATTTGTTGAGATTTATGTCAACTCTGTTGGGTATTGAGGAACCATATATCTCTCGTATTATGTTACGCGCTCTCAAGTTTCTAGGCAATGGGGATGGTACGTATTCGTTTTATTAGTGAAAAAAATAGTCTTTCATTATTCACGCTAGTACTTATGTTGTGTACTTGTTTAGATGTCTATCAAAAGAAAATGATAAGTGAGGGCATTTTAAATAAAGTAATTTATTGTATGAAATCAACCGATGACGATGTAGTCTACTGGAGTTTGGTGGTACTGCAAGACCTGGTCGTCCACTGTAAGATTTGTTGTGTCATGAAATTTATTCTCAGAGCTTTTCATGTAATACTCACCTGTTGTTTCTTGTTGTTGCTGACAGCAGAATCGCATAAGGATATTGTTGAACCGACATCAATAGACATTCTATCTCACCTTCTTGATTCACCAAAACAACATATTCGCACATATGTGACAGGTGTCATAGCAACACTCTGTTCTTCCTGTTAGTATTCATTTGTAGTATTTATTGGCATTAACGTGATTGGAAAAGAACTTATGATTGTCTTATCGAATTTATAGACGAATTTCATGAGAAAATCGTTGATCATCCTGATTTGTTCGAGAAACTTCTTAACATTCTCAAAGCTGAGAGAGAACTCGATACACAATATGCAGCATCAGTGGCATTATTTAACTTATCAGCTACATGTGGTATGATATTTTGTTATTAATAATGTATTGGCGAAAGTATTAATCTCGCAATTTTCTATTCACAAAGATAAACCGGCAGCCCACTTGATTAGAGACGATTGCATCAGTATCCTAGGAAATACACTCAAGTACAGCCAAAGAGAGAAAATTTCGTCAACTTGTGCTAAAGCTTTAGTGATATTAGCACTGAAAGGTATATATTACAGAACCATATGTGCGACGTCTATATATGCGCTTTCCCATACTGATCTTACTCAACATGACATTCTTTCCAAGACCAAACCCGCCTTCCTGGAATATCTTCAACCATTTTAATTCCTTTGATCAAACACACCCTTACATTTTGTGAGGCTACGTTTAAATCTTTTCTTTCTTCCTCTCCATCAAACGCTACAGTATCAAGCAGCGCCAAATCAACAACATCACTTCTAGATACACTTGAGGGCGAAATAACGTTACCTTACTCTCGTATAAGGTCCATCACTGCCCCTCTTTCGGCTTCACTTGATGCTCTGTTAATATTGCTCACGAATTACTCCATATCTGGTCGTGACTTTGCTGATAAAAATAAGGAATTGCTATTCAAACTAGCGCGCACTCTTATGGAGTTATTTGCTCAACCAGGAGTGAAAGAATGGATCAGGGGAAGGATGTTTAAAAACGGAATGTTATTGGAAGACTTGATGAAGGTTGATACGAGTTTACAGTATTATGCAAGGCCAGTGAGGTTTTTGAAGTTGGCCACTGAGAGAGGTAGTTGGAGCGCGGAAGAGAATGATATTTCGAGAATTGAGGTCGATGAAGATGAAGAGCGAATGAAGGACGCGAAATATGCCTTAGCAGCGAAAGCAATTGATGTGCTTAGTGAGATGGCGGGACATCATTGTAAGTTGATTCATTGACGACTTGTTATAAGTTATAGATAAGATAAATCTTGTCTGAATACTCCTTGTCTTCTTTTAGACCTCACGGATGTAATAATAAACACAGAAGAAGGCGCTTTTTTCGTTGCTTTGGTTAAATTATTAAATTTCCGACCCTGGCAACCCCTGTCTGAGCTTGCTACACATATTTTGCACTTTCTCGGGCCATTTTCAGCACGTGGTTAGCATAATGATGACAATGTCTGAGTGACTTATGTATTATAAGTTACGCACCCCGGTTTATTGACGCTTGTCTGTTCTTTAGATTCTTTTCCTAACAACTTTCCTCGATTGACGAGTATTAAGATTTTACTGGGTATATCTACTTGGCGTATCCTATTGTATAGGCAGACGACTGATGTGAAATTCTATGCTGAATTATTCCTCTATTACTTGAGTGCTTCGTGGAATTGTCATCGACTTACTAGGATATCCGTGTCATATTGTGTGCTTGATCGGCTAAGTTCTACACGTCACTTTAGACTGTCGGGTGATCGAATCACGGTATTGTGCAAGCTCTGTCGATTATTTTGTTCCTGCTGTATATGAACATTCATATATATGTAGATTAAGTTTTCCTGCCTAATATACTACCTTTTCATTTCTAGTGCCGCAACGATTCATGGACATTTGAAACAATCCGCGCAAATAGAGGTGTAACTAAGAGAGGCAGATATGCTTACGAAGTGCGCCTTAGGACTGGCGGGCTCGTCCAGATTGGTTGGACTACCAGGCAAGCTCAGTTTGAACCCGAGATCGGTACTGGCGTTGGTGACAACGACGATTCGTACTCTTACGACGGATTTCGTCGGCGCAAATGGCACGGAAAAAAAAGGGTGACGGTACTGTATCTCACTAATTAACATACTATGTCTGCAATGAATGAAAACGAGTACGATATAATTGTACTGCGTATACTTTGATACAGCCATCAGAAAACTCTTATGGATTACCATGGCGCGCCGGAGATTTTGTAACATGCTGTATAGACTTAGAAGATGGAACTATGGGTTATTGGCTGAATGGAGAACCAATGGGCATTGCATTTACTAATATTAATAAGAAGGAAGAGTGGTACCCTGTATGTTTATTAATGCGCTATGAATGTCTATTCAGTATTACTCAAACTAAATATGTTGTAGGCTGTATCATTGGCCTCGTCTCAAGAGTGCGGAGTACATTTCGGTGGGGTATTTGATCCGTTGGCGTAAGTATGATAGATCGAATGTGATACTTAATATAGTGTTGACATATTTATATGTGCCCTTCCTGTAGATATATTCCTGCGGGGTACAGGCCTATTGGATATACAGGATCAAATTCAGAAACAACGAATAACCCTACGGAAAACAATCTTCCGAAAAATGGTACTAGCGAAAACGTTGAGAAGCCGCTAGGCAATCTATTTCTACCCTTACTCTATTATGAAGTGCGAGTTGGATTGAAGAACGTGTTTGGCAGGTAACTACAATTGTTAGTGATTTAGCACCATCCTCGCCACCATAATCTTTACTAATAATTTTCTCATTCTCTCTGATCTTCGCAGTCATTGTCTTCAAATAGGACTTGGCAATAATCTTGATGATGCCATCCTATTTTGTCGCAACCGAGACTCCTGCTTTCTAGTCGTGATCAATCTCCGCGTGTTTACATCACCTACTGAACTGGACACATGTTTAATTCGTGCCTTATCTAGGAGAATGGATCAGCGAACGAGTATCTCTAGAGCAAGTGATGACAGTGACAAGATAGGAACGTTAATTGAATTAGATGTGCGGCTGAAAGACGGAGATTACGTTGGATGCGGTTTACGGGATTTAAAAGAGGTGAATGATCGAAAGACACAATGGCTGGGATGGAAATTTGGTAATTAAGGGGCGAAATATTGACGATATGATGCGATATACAGGAGGACGACAATAGCAACTTGCCGGGCACAAGTAGAGGCACTCGTGTTGCCGTATTTTTCACTGTCAACGGTGAATTAATCAGTTAAGTATATATAATAATGTATTCGTAGAAATACCATATTGCCTTCATTCGGGCTTCCCGAAATTTTATTTTCTAACTTCTGTCAATCCTTATAGGAAATATTAGATACGTGCGACCGACAAATATCTTTTTCTTTCCCTACATTGATCATAGATTTCCTCGCGTCGCTACATTGTTCGGTCTTGCTCGCGACTCTTCATTTTCAGAGTTTAAATATGAACCTGCTAATACACTGAGAGCAGTTGATGCTATGAGGGAATATGTAGACGAGGCATATGGAAGAATCTCCAAACTGTGGTGATAGATAGAAGGCCTGGATTAATAATTATGATTACCTATATGTATTAAAATTATGGAAAATTTCAAGCATCGCAATTCGCATTTCATCGTTACAAAAGAATTGCCACCATTAATATTAATATTACCAAACTAGTTTGACAGAATAGACGAACAACTTGATAAAAAAGACAAAAGTGGTATGGTATCATCTGACAAGCATGGCTCTTAACCAAAGTAGGTCCCCGTATTTTTAACGTAACGAATACTGTAATACTAATTAGTAACCGGTCCAAGAGCCTGCTTTCGCAGGTCATGCCTTAATTGTCGAATAGTAGGTAGTTGTACATTATCAAATTCTGAGATTGTAACACATTGCTTAATCCTCTTTACCTAAATAAGTCAACAGTAATTAAGGATATCTAGTATTTGACAAAGAAGCCTACAAACTCTAAACTGTATTACATATTTATTCAAGTTTCTTTATCTTCAACGTCGCACTGTTGCTTGTCTTTTGTGTCCGCTGTTACACAAACAGTCCAACAGGGATAAAAAAGTCTTTATACTTGTATATACGACAAAGTAATATGTCCTTTCTCGTTGTCGGAATCTCTTAAAATATTATGCTACCCATTGTGCTGTTCCTTAATTCACGTCAAGCCGATCATTTTATTTCTCTTTGTTCCAACTTCACGGACGTTAACAAAAAAACGACTGCTCGTACACCACCCACGACCGTTGAATCGGTTCCCGTTTCTCCACATTGTTGATCTTGCTACACTAATGCAGCGTTTCACACAAATTCCGTTCTTTCCTTCTTTGCATAGTCGAACCAATCGGAGCAAGAATTATTCGAAATAGAAACGGACAACAAAGACATATTGTAATTCATATAGGAAAGCAGTACGAGATCAGTTTGATATAACCGGAAAACAGACTGACAAATAGGAGGACAGCCAAGAGAAATCAGCGTAAGCTCGAAATGTATAAATACAAGCGGAGAAACTGCATGGCCAAAGCAGTCTCGAAAAAGACAAGTTAAAACAAAAAGAAAAGAAAAGGAAAAGAAAAAAAAAAGAAGCAAACTCCAATATACGATACAAAACTCACTTTACGAAAAGTCAAATCACACCGCTTTAAGCAAATACTTACAAAGTCAAACAACACATCTAAAATCTTCAATCATGTCTACCAACTCTCTCGCATACACCACTCTCAAGACCCTCTCCCACAATCAGACCAAGAATGACTTCTTCCACAAGGACGATGTTTACGCTCCTGAAACCTTTAACAAAATCTTTGGTCATGTACTGCCGGAGAGCGAAGTCCAAGGTGCAATCGAACAATTACAAAAGGAGAAAGAAGAAAAAGAGAGACAAGAAATGGAGAATAGAAACAAAGAAAGCAATGCATAAGACGTTAAAGTGGAAATACAGTCAACGCAAATAGGTTGAAATCCAGCCTTTGAGTTTATATTGGACATTCGCCTTCGCGTTTGCTTTCTATTATGATAACATCTCCATACACCATTTGCATTTATTATTTATTTTTTCATTTAGATTCACTTTGCATTCATTCTACATTCACTCACCTTGCATTTATTCATTTTACGTTTATTGATTCACATTGCATTCATTCACTCTGCATTCATTCACTCTGCATTCATTCACTCTGCATTTATTCACTCTGCATTTATTCACTCTGCATTCATTCATTTTTGCATTTATTCACTCTGCATTTATTCACTCCGCATTCATTCACTTTTGCATTCATTCACTCTGCATTCATTCACTCTGCATTCATTCACTCTGCATTCATCCACTCTGCATTCATTCCCTTTTGCATTCATTCCTTTTGCATTTTATTCACTTTTGCATTCATTCACCTTGCATTTTATTCACTTTTGCATTCATTCACCTTGCATTTTATTCACTTTTGCATTTTATTCACTTTACATTTATCACTTGCATTTTATTCACTAGACTCATTCACCTTGTATTCATTCATCCATTAACATAGAACTGACTAGGAAGTCACTTTTTCGTTATTGAATTGTAGATGTCAATTCTCTTATAAAAATTTCCAACTTGTATTTTCAATTGTCTTTGGGTTCGAACAAAAAAGGGGTTTATCGTGTACATTAGTATAAATAAATCAATAAAATATTATTACCATAATTACTTGCCTAACGTGAGAATTGTCAACATCGGAAAAATTCAGAGGATTGGAAGTTTTATCTTCCAATTATTTCATAGTTATCGCAAAAGTAAAACGAAAGTGTCAAAAATCAGTAATTAACATTCTTAGGGAAAAACAACGTTAGTGCTTTAATTCATTTTCGTTATTCGGTGGTGAGAGCGGACAGGATTACAGCTGAAATAGAAGACGGCGACCGTTAACCCAATCAAACATTAAAGTAGTATGAAGTACGATGTTGATGACGTACAGTATATTCTTCCTCTCTCAATTTCTGCGTAGCTTGAATAAGCGTTGCGATCGTTCCATATCGGGACAAAGAATCATGATGTTGCAACATCATTACACGGACAAAAATAAACGTGTTGCGAGGGCAACGATTATAGATATATAAATATCCGACTTTCCGCTAGAATGCATGTTCACTTTACGGATAGTTTAATCATCTACTCTGAAATACACGATTGATAATCGATTGATATAGTACCACTAATCCCTATATCAATTAGGAGTATTCGCTTCTTGTCCGCGGATATTCTCGATTGTTATTCGCTTTAAGTAGAAACGCGTTTTACATAAATATAATTACACCCCAACACTATAGGCTTCCGAATTAATTCCATCAGGAGGAGAATCGTCGATTAACTTGAGGGCGAATAACCGTCTAGGACTTGTGTCTACAGCCACAGCGTTTGCAAATAGCTAAACCCCAAGGTCAGCAATCGACCGCCCTCCCGTGATCGTTGACTTGACAGTCGTCAGCGATGTTGATTGCTCTGCTGATCGCGCAGTAAAGGTAAGACCCAATGCACCTGTATCCTTTCGTTTAAATGATGATTGGGTTTGGCTTGGTAAAGAGTATATAAATGAAGTATCCGGATTTAGAGCTCAATTGACCAAAAAGCGTGCAGTAAGATTACTATATACTACTATCATTGCACACGATATGATAAGTTGCGTGTTATTAGAAAAATATTATGTAACGGTTTTACATATCAAATCTAATAGAAGCAAAGAATTTGTGTGAGAGTTTAAGTTCGTAAAAGTAGATTAGTGGAACGAAGTTTATGACTCTTGGTAGCACATAATGTTGTTCACGAACAATCTACTTGCAATAAAAGATAATAAATTTTTAATTTTTTAAATTTATCTTTTATGCAAAAAAAAGCAAGCCTTAATCTTAGCCAAGTGCATTCATCGTATAACAATGAATATTTAATTGACTAGCTCTACATTGTTAAAATGTTGCAAATAGGGCAACATTCGTTATTGTAAATAGCTTACTTAGTGCTGGGAATTAATTTTTTCAGATATTTAATATCTGGCCTACAGTTTGCATCAAGTTTATAACTTATTACTTACTAAATTGTTAGAATTTAAAATTTTATTCTACTAACATTGAAACATAAACAATTAATATCGCCGTGCCGGCCGAATTGACGAGCTGACCTTGATTCTCGTAATAGTTGGTGTCTGTTCTAACTCACATAGATACGATCCTGTCAACAGTGATCCTGGATGTGGTGAGAGACGATGACTGGTTATAACGGTTTAAGTTACAGAAGCTTTATTTTGTCGAACATGTATTTTTAAATATGTTAACTGTTGCATTTTCCTTGAACTCTTAATTAGTTCAGTTAACCTTTATTATTCCTGGCTTTTTGACAAAGCTTTCTACCTTATTTAAATATCCCTAGAAAAGCCTTTGTGTTATTAAATTGCAGAAAAAGTTGTGCTCTGTTTTCTTTTAATCTACTTTCTATTGTACTGTATATTGTATAAAATAAACGTGTATTAGAGTTTCAAATTTTGTAAAGTTTGAACATTTGTTAACGCTCTTACTTTTGAAAATATAGACTGCATACTAATACAGGCTAACCAACAAAACCGTCTTAATGCTGCCTTGTTTTCTGATAGGCAAGTCAGTCAGAAAAACAGAAAAAAGCATTATTTATAATTGTCTGCAAGTGGGACATGTGTTACACCTTCTAATACATTGTTCTTAAGAATTACTGAGAATAAGTCAAAAATAAACCTATTAGTATTAATTAATGCTTAGCGAATGTTTGTCAATACAGTATAATATAAATATGATAAGTAGGAAAAATTTTTATTGTTAGCATTTAATATTTTTACTGATATAAAGTCTATTTTTACTTGAATATAAACTAACTGGTTCTTTGAGGACTCAATATTAGCATGTTCTACAGTAACTGGAGTAAACTATATCATAAAAACAAGGAAATTAGATACAAATAATTTAAAGCTTTGTTTAGGAATTGAATGTTAATGAAATGAATTGTGGTCAGCAATTTATACTTTGCTGTAGCATGTTCATATTATAGCGTCAAAATGTGATAACAATAGATAACATGAGAATTAAGAATTGATGGCATTGTCACCAACGTCGCCATACACCAACAACTAGGAGCAAAAGCGTTGAATAATAGAGATTACACTTCAGACTTCCTCATAGGCAATAAGACTGAGTGAGTAATTTGTTTGATATGTAATAATATAATTATAATGTTTATTAAATAGGTTACAAGTGAGATAAGCCCGCATCTGGTTTTGAATCTTACGCCAGACTATCAGACATTAAGGAAGAAACATAAAATGGCCGGGCAAGTGACAACAAATGCAAGAACAAACACGTAAAACTTTATTGAGATACAGTATTTCAAAGAAGACGTGCTTGACGAACGTATTGTTAATAATAAAGAGGTGGTATAACGTGACAGTATAAATTAACGTTTTGTCTAATCCTATCAATATATGTATAAATCGTCTTCAAATTGATAATTATTTGTTCTTTTCAACTTACTTCGGTATCCATTGTCCATATTGAGTTTCTGCTCTTCTCTCGTACTTTTAATTGATGCGGTGTCAGTCTCACTAAAGCTGCCGGCGATATTGAAATTGAGGATCCAGGAGATTCGTAAGTCTCGGACCTCAGCTTTGATGTGTTTCTGGGAAACAGATGTATTATTCGCTTGCCATCGGGGATGCAAATAAGTCACGTGTGCAAGAAATATTACCATTTTTTGATCAGGGTTTGGAGCAATTGTACAAAGCGTATTATTGGCTGAACGTTATTTGTGATGTCAAAAATTATGTTTGCAATTATTTTTTAATTAACGAAGGAGAGAAGTTCTTTGATTCGATCTTTCCTTTAGGACAATAGCTCTTTCATTTTTTATTCCATTAACAAAAGCTATTAAGCCCCAATAGCCTAATGGATATGGCGTCGCCCTCCTAAGGCGGAGGTTCTAGGTTCGAGTCCTAGTTGGGGCGGAATTATTTTGTTATGAAGCAACCATATAAATTGCATAGCGTATTACCTCTCGTTAAGCCTGTTATATATACGCGCAAGCTGTAATTATTTTCAGGTCAAGGAAAGGCTTTCTAGGAGACTTAGATGGTCTTTTTAACAAACTGTCACCGATTAAACAATGAGGCTTTCTATCGTTGGGTCTTATCGCGATAAATGCTAAAAATGTCCCAATAAATATCGCGCAGCCCGTAATAAACAACTTGGTTAGCAAGTCTGGAAGTTTTTTGAATGCGATCGCTAATACTGACTAATGAGGTATGATGATGATGATCTTGTTGTGTCTTCCTTACAACCTCGATAGCGGTAGAATAAGACGTCAATAGTCACTTTTGTCCAAACTTTTGTTTATGTTTGATTAGACTTTATAGATGTTTGTTTAGCCCCCTGGTACTGAACTATGCGTACGCGTTTAAAAAGCCGTTTAATAATATCTGTTAGAGTAAACGGTATAGTAACTGATTTGGTAATTGAGTTTTAGTATAGGGAATAATGTTTATGGTGGCAATAAGCCTCACTATTAGCTCTACTATTGGTAAATGGTATGATCCAAACGTTTGTTTAATTATAAAAATACGAATCCAAATATTTACTTTCTCAGAGAGATTAAATCCTTATTTATACGGTTTAGTACTTTCTCTTTGATATTCTTAAATTGTTTACATCTGCTTTGTTAATCTTTTCGTTAAAGTTTCCCTCTCCAACTCGACTACTGACTGCAAGTGCCAAAAACAATTATAAGCTTAAAGTTGCTTAACCACGGTCTTAAATCTTTTAGTCGCATAACGGTTAATATGAGCAGTATGAGAACTTGGCTCAAACATTATGTAGATTACTTGGAACAAATAAAGCAACTGGTAGTATCAAGACCTTTCGGTTGCCCCTAGGAAGACGCGTAACCGTAAGGGACATGATGACAATACTGCGCGTACAGCACCCTCTACGAATAATCGCACTATGTAAGTGCACGCCTTTGCTTGATCGCATAAGAGCGCTATACATTTCTGTCCTCTGCTCGTACAAACGCTCTCCAGACATTTCCTTTACTACCGAAGAGGGTTTTCTGTACTTGCTTTTCCCAAATTATCACATGACTGCTGTAATTAAGATAGTTTCCTTCTGCCGTTATACCTGTACTGATACCATGGCCTATCAGATTTCCGATCGACGTCTCCGAAAATAACAAAGAAGGTTCGATGATATTACTTTACGTAATATGGTAATTAATGAGTTCACGAGGATTATCATTGTAATTGAATGATCCAATGAAAAAGCTACTTTGAAGGGGACAAAAAGATGCGGGAGTGGAATAATTACGATAGAATGATCCAGATGGTCCATTGGTCTAACAATTGCTGTGTTTCGGTCGGTCTTTCTTCCTCTCCATGTCCAGAGAATACCTTGTTAGTGGAGATATGTATTTCATATAACATGTTAATTATTATTTAATTTCCGTACATTTGATGGCATTGTTAACCGTTTGGTTGTTGTATGCTTTCATTAGTATAAATATACATATGCAATACCAATACGCTGATTGACATTATGTCTGGAAATGCTAAGCAACCTTTGTCCGGTTTCCGCTTTCTTGTCTCACATGGTTCTGTTTGTTCGTGTTGTCAGAGCAACATTTATTTTAGTGGTTCAATACGATTGACCAAAGCTAATTGGTAGTTTTATGTGATCATAGATCACATTAATTAATACTAAATTTATTTGCCGATTAGCATGTTATAATGAATACCATAATAAGTTAGGGTAAAATAAAGTTTGGTTTCGTTTCTCTATAAACAATACAAATTCGGATTACTATAAATGTAGAATCGAATAAAATTCGGAATCAATAACTAACACTTATTCCGGCCAGTGGGGACGACACAACCATAATATCTATGAAACAAACACTTGTAATGAATTTGAAACTCATGAAGAAATCAGCCAACAAAGTAGACAAGAAATGACTTATATTAATTATTATCGGCACAATACTAACAAATGCGTTATTTGCATTTTGGTGTAATATTAATTTCATTGTTTTTTTATCGTTCTATGCATTCCAGAGTTTTCTTGGTAGAACGTCTGTTGCATCCAGTGTTTTATGCATGTGTCTTAGACGACCGGCGATAAACGCGTGATACTGTATATGCATCAAGTGGAAGCAACTAAACATATGCGCATATGTAATATGGGTACAAATCTATATGCTATGCTACAGTGCGAGTAAATTGTTACAAATGGCATAATATTGTTCTGTATTTATTGTTCTCGAGAGGTTTCATGTGAATATTTAATAATAGAGACGCGTGCATGGTGAGTATCAATGAGACGACAAGGCAAGTAATTGGGTTATTTCCAATGTTTTGAACTCAAATTCAAAATTCAAGCAGGCGTGTAACGATAACAAAATGATACTGCAGAGAGGCATAAGATTAAGGAAATCAAAATAGAAGATTTTCCAATGAAGTATGCAAAAATTTATAACGCACCTTACTTTTTAAATATAAACCCGGCGGACAAATGACTAATAAATCACTATCAGCGAGAAGACCCTGTATGTGTTATATATAGTTCGACAAGGTTGGGTTACTTGAAAAGTTTTTGATTTGTTTACCATGACCTAGATAGATTTGTACTCCTGGCACTCCTAGGAGACGTCGTAGATATAACAACGTCTGAATTAGTATATATGAAACATGCATGGCTAACCTAATTAAGTCGATCAAGCAACGAACAGGGAAGCGTAAACTTTATTGCCCGACTAAAGGTTAGCGAGTCTCAACATTAAATGAGCTGATTTTCTTTTGTAACACGATGGTCATATCACGCCAATCATACTACCACCAATTTAATTATCGTATGCCCTGCTCACGCTTTTATTGGGAAATTGCTGGGAAGGGCGGGAAATACCTGTATTACAGGAATGTGGCCTTGTGTATATTAATAAGAATGATAACAAAGTATGTGGGAATAAACTAATTATATGTATGCTGTCCTACATGATTGTATCATTGTTTTATAATGTTTATGTACTTTTTCAACTGTATGTATGCTACGTCGGCGTAGAAATCATCCAATGAAAGATGAACCATATCGGCTGACGACCTCAGAGTGATTGCGTTTATTGCGTTTAAAGTTATTGATCAAGACATGCTATCAATATCAGAAATGCTAATCAATGAAATCAATACTAATTAATATCGCTACAGTGACTCTATTGGCCGATTATGTAAGTACCTTACGGACTCTGGTTATATGTGCACGTGGCAAATATATTAAAATTGTTCGATACAAGTTAATTAGCCTATTGTACATACTGTATATATATGTGATATTCGCAGAAAGTAAATGGTTGATGGCAAAAGTGTGTAAAATGTCATTAGTATATCAGGAATATCGCAACACAACACAACACAACCCAACACAACCCAACACGACACCGAAACCTAATTTCTGAAAACGGCATTTTGCGATATTACTTCAGGGGTGGTCGGGCTATACGAAACTTTATCATATAGCATTATCCTTATGCAGAATGATGGGGGATGGGGGATGGGGCGATTCATTGACGTCTTGGCATTTTTCTGAAATTTCAAATATTCGCAGCATCTTCTTTGCGATATCAGCAAATGCACGATCTTAATAATAAAATGCTTGTTGATGTCACCAACTATAGTTTGATGTCACCATTGACAAACACTATCGCCCTCGTAGCCGCTTATTCGACCTCCGTTATGTCACAAACAAAACAATACTGTTAGCGAAAGGAAACAGTACATGGATTTCCATTAATATCATGTTCACGTACGCCTAAACAATGTCTTTGTTTAGCAAGGGAACAGAGAGATGAGGAGGAAGAGGAGGGTCGAACCGAGTCATTAGCAGAATATTGAATATGGATTACTAATATGATATCAAATTAGAAAATCAGGGAATGAATTAATAATGAAGTAAGCATGTTAAACGGGTCCTAGGAATGATGTAATCAAGTGTAATACTCTAGATAATCACCGAGACATATTAGTCATATCACAACATTGTTTATATTCGGTGCGTGATGGTAAATGAGAAAGACATCTTTATTGGGCATAAGGGCATATAGGCCATGGGCATGCGAAAATCGAGATCGTGTTCACCATCACTGAATGTCCCTTGGTCGCACATCGTCTCCGACTCTTTCTTTCGCTAACTATCGTCAGATCCGTCCAGTAACACTAACATACAAGGCATAAACAAACAATAAAGGAATATGAGCCCTGCATGTAATATATACTAAAGCTGACACGCTCTCGTGCAACACCGCAGTTCATGCGGGTAAAGATAGGGGTCATGGAAAGGGCGAGAGGAAAATATATCTACACTCGGTATTATAGATGCAAAAACATATATAATTATGCATTACTGCTCCAATCCCTGTTATATTCCGGATACACCCTGAATAATGCCGTATGCGGGCACATGATAATCGTTTATGTTTTCCCTTTATGTTTTTAAGTTAAATTAAATATCAATGTGCCGCCGTTATATATCTCTCATATCTCGTCGGCAAATCATTGTAAAAGGTCGCATAGTTTTATAAAACCTAGACGAGTTAAATCACTTTTTTTTTTCCCATTTACCAGACAAGCAAAAGCAAAAGCAAAAAATCATGTTACCTCTACTCTGCAAAGCCGCTAAATCGCCGAATATTGAAAAAGTAGAGAAAACAAAAATGCCCGAATATCTGCAGCCATGCACTAAATATATAGGGGGTCTGTGAGAAGTTTCTCCCAATTAAAGTTTATTTTGATTGCGCCATATACAGAAAATAATGTAACTGTAAACAAAGTTTATGTTCCACCCTACGATAGGTATCCCGTTTCTCGAAATATCCTTTGTTGTTGCATTACTAATTGTCTATTGGATGTACGGCTGGATAATTAACAGTGTGTGGTATACCATCGTCAAGTTGTCACGGATGTGCTCATAATCCACAAAGAACAAAGAGAATGCCCAAAGGATAAAGGATTGTAACATGTTGCTAGAATAAAGACTTGGCCGTGTTCTAACTTGTGTGATACCATCTAATTATTAAAAGCATGTCGATGTATTACAAAGTGCACCACGGGCATATATTATACCGCCGTAATGTTATATTGTATTCGGTAATAATAAGGACTTGGAAGAAGATAAAATAAATATATATAAAAAAAAAAGAAACTATACTCGATTCTATACTACCCCCCCTTTTTTTCTTATCACAGAGACCGATCATTCTATTTCAGGTCTAATTAGAGACAAAAACATTTCATCTATTTACCCTAAATACCACTGCTTATTGGAACGTCTTATTTACGATGTTTACATGCAATGATCTTCGCCGAGAAGGTTTTGTTGCTTTTATTTGGTGATATTAGCATTTGTGATAGAAAAGTTGGGGCGATGCAACCTTTTGTTTATGCGTAAGCGATGAAAGAGGGCGCATAAAGAGAAGGTGAAATGCACAGAGTGAGAACAAAAAGAAAATCGTCCAACTGAACCAATTTTGTGCTGCGGATGTATAACAATATGATGATATCGATAGGTGCCTGTCAAGTATCTGCAAATGTTGTATATATGCTTGCATCTTACAACGCGTATTATTAAAGCCTACTTTGTAAATGATGACAAATACCAGTATAATAAATGAATGAAATAACAAGTAACAACAACGACTCTAGCAACAACGACTCTAACAACAACGACTCTAACAATAACAATAGTAACATATGATTAAGTGTTTCTACCAGAGTAGAAAGGACATCTATACTAGTCCGAGGTAACGATAACGAGTGCAGCATAAAAGTTCTTGTGGCTAATCATAAGGAAAGGAGTGCATCATTGCATTACACTTCTGCAGCCTAGCAGTTACTCTTAGATCCCCCGATGAATCTAAAAATATTCTTGTGCAAATACGATGTGATCTAACCATATTGGTCTTGCTCATACCAATTCCCCTCTCCTCTTGTTCTCTAACATCACGATTAAACTCCCCCCCCCCCCCAAAAAAAAAACTCATCGCATCACAATCGACACATTGGACAGAATATTTAAATATTTATTTTGTATTTTACAAAAATTTTTTATTTTTTATCATTAACTTACAATTGAAATTATAAGCAAGAGAAAAAAAAACAACTCAAGTTAAAGAAACCTTTTCTTCTCTCTCTACTCTACTTTCTATTTGCAGTTGTAGTATGTTCATTATATGTATGGAGAGTCTTTTTTTTTTATCTTCTTGCTTTCTCTGTACAAAAAAAGTTAGCGCTTGAATAAATTCAGCAATGTGAAAGAAATAAATAATACAAGAAAAATAGAAACAAAGTAAAAGCGAATAAATAGTAGATATGTTCCCATCAAACTATGAAACCCCAGCAATCATCAGTCGTTGTCTGTAATTCATTATGCTGTACATGTGGGACTGGTACCACCACCCCCTCCATAACGTCTGAAGCCATGTTTACCATACCGCAATAATCATTAACACTCTGTGCTACTTTGCCTTCATGAATTGTCTGTAGAGGTGCTTTGGGACATCCGCCACAATTACTGCAAGCACCACTGCCGCCCACTCCAGACCAGGGAGCAAAGCCAAGTGGTGTAGTAGGCGTTGGAGGTGCTACTGTCGTGGCCGTTGTCATTGGAACTACCCCTGGCATGCTCATTACCCAGGCATCCTGAGGAAGACTAATGGATAGATCGGAACTAAGTGAAGGTTGTGGAGGAGGATTGGCTGTGGATGTTGGATTAGGGTTACACGAAATATCGTCGTAGAATTTGAATTCATTGTCAAATGATTGAAACGGTGGTGTCATCATTTGTTGAACAGGTGCAGTAACAGTCGGAGTAATAGGAGCAGCAGCGGGAGTATTGATGATATTTGATGTAGAAGAAATATGATTGGAATTCTCTGAAGCAGAGTCACGAGGAAAAAGTGCGGAAACGTCGGGCGTTATTATGTTGGATGTTGTAGAAGGATTAATAGTTGCTGAATGGTATGCTCCTTGGTTGATTATAAGTTTGAGAATTTCATCGATGAGAGCTTGCTCAGATATAATAGCACCATTAGAATCCGTGAATTCAGCACCTAATAGTCGATCTCCCCCTATCAACTGAAATAGCCCACTATTCATTTGGCTATCCAATTGAATCTGGGGCTCGGTTCCCATCTGAGCGTAATTTAATAATTGTCCTTGCCCAGGTTGCGCATGCACAGACGCAAATTGTCCTGAAACGATACCATTATTTAATCCATTATCCCAGGATGTGATTGTAGGAGTATTGTGTGTTTCGAGTATGCATGCATGCTGAGATGCGTGTTGGGAAGTTATTTGTGCAGCGGATTGCTGCTGTAATGTGAGTATTCGTGGCTGCGACGGCTGAATAGGTTTCTTCTCTTCAGCTAATTCAAAGACAGTAAATGCAGATTCCATTGATGCTTGTTTTCTGTGCTCTATAGGTACTTGATCGACATTCTTTTCGTCTTCGTTCTTATTATTATCCGATGAACCACATGAATTCTGTCCCTCCTTTCCTTTTCCTTTGTTCTTTTTTGGTTTGTACTTGTAGAATGGGTATTTCTTTTTGTGTTCTACCAACGCCAGGTCAGCTTCTCTCTGGTAGCGCAGTTTTATGTCTTCAGGCTCCTCTCGCCACATCTCTGCCACAGTTTTCGAAGGATGACGATCATCAGAGACTGACCGTTTGACGGCTGCTAATTCCTTAGATTTAGTTCGATGATAAATGATGAATGCATTGGGTGGTCTTGGAACTTTGGAGTCGTAAGGTTTAGGTGAAGGAGAGGCGCCTCCTGACAGCCGACGTTTCTTTATAGTCTGTTGAAAAGATTAGGAAGGGTAAATATAAAGAAAGTCAATAATTTGCTGATTGATTTTACAAAAGATATAAATATAAGCCCGCATTCAATTCGTTTAGCTTAGCATATCTGCAAGCAATAGATACATGCATAAAAGTACATCTGATGCAATTCTTTCAGCCACAACTATCTTTTTCGATTCTCTCTTACACGTCTGATGTTCTCCCGCATTACCTGGTTATATGCGTCTGATGCCCATGATAATTGACCTTTGTTAAGATCGTTATTTATCTCCTGTTTCATAACTTGTTCACCGAGTGGCTGAGGAGTAACAATTTTGTTCTGTTCATTTAACGGATTGAATGGTTTAACGAATATTTGAGGCTGCTTGAATGGGAGAGGAAATCCTTTATCTTGTACAACCGGAGTATCACCCATTGGTAATTCAAAAGGAGGCGAAGAGAATATGGATAACGCGGTCGAACGGTCCAAGGCATGAGGGGAGATATTGTGTGTAGGAAGAACGGTGGTCATGGCGGTGTCAGCAGAGGGAGAAGCGGAGATCTCGTAGGAGTTCCAAGGATGTAACAGATTTTGCTCCATCGACACGAGAATGATAAAAGGGTTTATGATATGATAGTGTGTGGATTAGATAATGAAGGGAATTTAGCTATAATGTTCCCAATGACTGATCTATGTTGTTTGTTGCACGTATGTTTTCCAAATAAGTATAGAACAGTTGAGGGAGTTTATAAACGACAACGCTGATTCATTAGGAAGGCAAGGGGATTATACGCATACAACCATTATAGTGCACTTTTAACAAAGAGCAATTTTCAAGGAAAAAACGAGAAGGTGGGGGAACCGTAGTTTTTTATATAAAAATCTAATATATTACACAGTGCTTGATTGGCTGGTGGCCGGAATAATTTCAATCAATAAATTTTTCCAGTAGATTGAATTATTTAAACTGTGTGACCCAACAAATATACGCTTTTATTTTTCCCCCCCCCCCTCTTTTATTTAATTCCAATAATTTAGGTTTCTGAAAAACCTTCATGACCAAAAATCTTCCACTTACATATTAGTGTATTATATTATCGGCCGTTCATTTTTCCCATTATCCATTATCCTGCTCATTATCCTGCTCATTATCCTAGTCATTACCCCACTCACTACCCCACTCATTATCGACCGCATAGCATCGCATAGTATGCTTGTTTTTTTTTTTTTTCGGCTCTGGCGAATGTATTTACTATATAAATATAAACATGTCTATTTATTTAGTGTATACTGTATACTCTTTGTTTCTATGACCGACCGTGCGGTAGTATTGATGTATACCTAGTATGTATTACTAACTTAAAGATTTCATTTGCTAATGAATATTGATTATCTAATTATGTATAAGTATGGGAGTCCTTTAAGTCCCTTCTTTTCCGGGATTACAAGTGCCTAACCGAACTGAGCAATATCTCACAAAATTATTAGGCGGGTGTGCCTTTTTAGGTTTATGGCATTGTCGATTGTTAAGTGTTTGGATTTCCTATCCTCGCCGACAAAAACATTACTAAATGTGGTAGTTACCTAGAAGCTTTGTTAGACCCCGGAGTAAATGCATGTCAATTTACTATAAATATCAATGACAGAAATACAGCTTACGGATATCAGACAATTTGTTATTCGTTTAATGGCTTTTAATATGAACTTAATACAAAAGTTGTATCGAATATATTGGTTTGTAATTACCATTTGAAGGTCTTAATATGTTTGTATTATATTAATCTATGCATAATGGTGGTTACCGCATAATAAAATGCATCTTTAAAATCGGTTGTATTCCATCGGATTCATGCACATGTATTTGCTACAGTCCCAAGCCAAGCCAAGCGAGCGCGATGCTTGACTTGAGAATTGGGGCTAATCTTTTATGACGACAATGTTGCGATATATTATTATGTTATCATCATATCAGCAGCAGCGTATTCGCAACACCGCATTCTCATGCATTAGTTTTTCCAAGTTTGTAACACAAAATATCGAGGTTTTATTAATAGCTCATTGTATTAGACGAAAATAAAAAAGAAGTTGGGAAAGACTTTGTTTGGCGCACAGTGATCAATATAAGATTGTGAATAGAAGCAAGTAGAATAAAAGGTGAATATGCAAAACCACAGGTTGAATGTTATGCTGGCCGTCGTAAACATAAATTTAAGTTTTTATTATTGACTACATTCGGATGTGCATCTGATTATTATAGGTGCCAATATCACAGCAATTTGCTCTTGTCTCCACTAATCTGCTCTTGTCTCCACATCATAGACAACGAATACGTTCGGTTCTTTTTGCATGCCAAGCAGTTTAATGAGTAACATGTTTACGTCATCAAATCACGTCTAACAAACAACGGCTTTTCGTAACAAGGAAATTCCTGTAAAACACTCTTGACCATAGAATCACGCTATCTATTCCCTCCAGTAGAAACTAATAGTACACGTGACTGTATGTGTTTTCGTGGTTATTAATCGACTATATGGATCAACATACGGGTACAGAAACAGTTGCGTGATATTACAATATCCGAAAATGCACATTCATTCTAAGTACAACGCCTTTACATTAGACGCGTAACAAAGACATTCGTCGGCGCTTTTAATCAACAATTAATATGTCTATACAATTGTTCATGATTATCAAACACACGATTTCTGCAGATTACTTATAAAACATGCATAGTCGCTTTGCCCGAAACAACAAAGATGCGCTTGCAATTAACATTGGTGCAATAAGGAACGAGTATAAGATTATCGAATAATGGTCATATGAGTAAACATGTATACGAACAAGAGTATAATTATTGGTATGCCATGACTCGACATTCAGAATGTGCGTGCGTGCATATATTTTGAAAAGAATTGTTCCAATCAAGCGCAGATGGGCGTTTGTGAAAGGAAAAGATGGGAGTAAAAAAAAAAAAGAAAGAGAGAGACAATTACATAATTCGTGAGACTGCATGCATGTAAGTTTACATTAAGATCTTTATTTAATAATATTTATTTGATAATGGTATTTGTTAAATAACGGCATTTGTCGGTATATGGAAAACAAAGCAGATCCACAGGAGAGGGTTGGGGTTGGGCGAGAAGCACGGAAGAAGGTTCGTAAATTAAATGTAGCTCTGTGAGTGGTGGGCAGTAGACTTTAAACAAACAAATAGGCTGGTAAACTAATCGCAACAATTGGGTGAACGTAAGCTGCGGACGAGACAATGCATGCAAATAAGAATAAAAATAATCATTGATAAGAAAGTTCAAATAGTTATAATACGTTTCATCTTCTATTATACGATAGTCCAATATATTTTTAATGCACTGTCGTATATATAATCAATTATACTATATTGGGTATAATAATAAGCTGATGAGGGTTTTTGATCACAGTTGACCCTTTTGGCCATCGACATTATTGTCATCATTAACGAGATGGCTAGAACATTCATTGACGATTGTAGTGTCACACTTGCGCTGTATTCCAGATTTGAACTTTGATGTGAATAAATAATCATGGATAATTCACACCCATTCTTGACTCTTCACCTACAGCTCACATTCATAAATACCGGTTATTGTTACTGCCTAGAGTTTTATTACTAAGCCACCTCCCGTTCCCACAGCTACTAGCTTTCTTACAATTTCTTTTACTATTCCATTATACCAGTACCCGTCCATCATTGCCAGCAATAAACAACAAATCTTTATTGGGAACACCAATATCCAGCGCATCGTCTGTGAATAAATTACTACGGACAATAGGTGTGGCGACAATAGAAAAACAAAAATAAGGCGAGCAAATATTAGGTTAATTGGCAAATATTAGACGTAATGTTTAAACAGAGCTGATTATTTAATGACAATATTTACTTGAACAATGAATGCGTTATTTGTATGCTATGGAAAACACGCGTGAGAGAAAGAGACAATGCCGAAAGCAAAGTGATCGTTAGTATCATCAAATTAGGGTGACAACAGAGAAGAAATAGCATTAATTAAAAGTTGGCGTATTTATGATAGACGACTAGTCATAATGTTAATATTGTTGTCGAGTTTATAGTAAGCATCAGTAATTGTTTGCAGCCCAAACTTTAAAATGAAACCGTCTGTCTTGGTTATTATTTACCAATAATATTATATGATACCATCACGCACACTTATTCTACCCCGCACTCTCTTTTAGTCTGCGTGTTGTTTCCAATCGACAATACAATCATTGTTGCTGGTTCCTACCAGGATGTACATTTTTAATCGAAGACGCTATTCGAACCAATCCAGCCCAATAATCAGTCATTAAACAAGAACGCAGTTGACAAATAGAGAATATTATAAATGATAAAAGCTTGATATTGATAAGAATAGGCGACAATAAGCGGCATTGAGATCATGGATAATAATAGATAACAAATGACAATGTTATTTATCCTAACAACTAAAGTTTGATAAGTTTGATAATAATGGCAGCATTGTCCTAACGATATTATTTCAACATCCTGATCGAGATGACGTACCTCCATAGTTATGTTTCATATGTATATAATTAAATACATCGATTGTTCTTTTAATTACTTACCATCTTTATTCCGGTATCCTGGCGATTGGAGTGTCAGAAGTGTTAATAATCGTTCGTCATACATGACCACAATATATGTGTAATTTATATTGTATAAGCAACCGTTGTATCTCAAACGACCCAATCGAACTCGGAGGTAAATGTTACGCAACTACTAACGACACTATAGTTGCTCCTATCTCAACTCTTTATTAACCATATACATTTAAAATGTCGATTTGGCTAGTTAAGAATGAGTATATGGCACAGCAGACGGATAATGAGACATTCTCATTTCCCCACTTTTCAAAACGTGCATAATGAGAATGCAGAAAACCACAGACCATCGTGCTATCTTTAAATGGGTTGGTATTTTAGTAGATATGGACTTCCATAAATATCAGACTCATCACGTGCCACTTCATTTATCGCTCTATGGATTTCCTACTTAAAGATCACAAGACACTATGTTCAAATATAGATAAAGTTTAACCAAATATTGATAATTGGGATATCTGTTCTTAATATAGGTCAATGTATTAATAGCTTATTATTAATGGTCGAGCGAAAGCTCACCTACAATTACAAATGTAGTCGACGACTGTTCGAAACGGCCCAAACATCTGCATGTGTGCATGTACATATGCATATGCGTACTATTACTGTCTCTTCATTACTGCATTACTGCATTACTGAGCCATCCATCCACTTCTCACCCCCAGATTTTGATCGATCACACTGTGTCACTCGTGCCCCCAAATGTCGCACTGTCCATATCGAACAAACTGCCGGAATTACAAAATGTTCCGTTCTTCCAAACCTACCATCGCAAAAGTGCATACATGCGTTTCTCTTATTTCCACATGTCATCGAGAACGAATTAAAAATCTTTTCCAACGGTTTTTTTCCGTTCAGTTTAACTTATGTAAGAAAGGTTATTTAAGTGGGAGATTGGTGTGCGTTAATTAATATTGTTTTGATGGATATGCATTGATATTGTTCCGAATTTGCTTTTCCTTTACTGATAAGTAACAATGAGTGATATTGATAACACTTGGAATAAGGCAGCCTCTTAACATTGTAAGAAACCAGTTACCGATATTGTAAATAGATTATCTAGAGTCTGCTATGCTCATCAGAACAAAAGAATTCAAGCTTGTCCTTGTAACCCAAAATTAAATGTCCCCCGACTATTGACTGGTCATAAGAGACGGCAGAGAGAATCTTATTTGAAGTAACACAATATAGTACTTCCCGATTATTAGCTCGAAGTGATACGTTTTAAAATTCCTTGCATCCTATTCGCGCATTTCTGTCCATATTGCAAACAATTTCTTTCTCTTCTCGAACAAGAAAATACGTATGCTCATGCAGTAAACAGTAAACTTGAACACAATGTTTAATGAAAAGAAAAAAAGAATAAAGTTTCCAAGCTTGTAGAAAGAAATACATCGAGAGAAAGAACACAAACGAAATGAATAAACAAGCTGACGAAAACAAGTTGATAAACAGGTTGTTTGACGAATAGCTTGAGATCACAATCAATGCAATTAATAACATTACTAATTGTTACTGCGATAAACTATGAATCAAGTATCTTCGCGCATGTAAATTCGGTAACTAATTTCTCCGTCTATAATAATAATTTATAGCGTTATAGGTAATGCGTACCACACTATGAGATAAAGACCATCGTTTTTGACATAGCATGTTTGCCAAGATTATTTGCTGACATTATGGTTACAATAATTTATTGATATTAATATTACCATGCTCGACGTCCCTGCAAAGTATCCCACAAGCCCTGCAAATATAAATCATTCTTTTCGTATTCGGTTTTCCCAATTTACAACCGTTTGTCCGCATCTGTATGTATGATTACCAATCTGCTTACAAACTGCATTTCACCACTGAGCGTTTTCTTGCTCCACCTTCACGCATATATTCTATTTCTTCGATGCCTTTTCTTGCCTTCAAAACCAGGAAATCCGTTCTCTTCTATGAGGACAAATTTCGTGCAACAGTGTCTCGTGATACGATGCAGACACAAAGTCAATGTGACATGAATTTTTAATAGATATGAGTCATTTGCAAACATTGGGTTTTGAGACAATTACATAAAGATGTGCGGGGAGCGGGTGTCGGGTGATGATTGAGGGCGGCGGTTATGTGATGGTTTGTTAGGGGATATGTTACCTAAGCCGCTACGATTACATTTACTAAACTAGGCTTGATTAGTCGATAATCATGTATTAATTGGTTGCTCAATAGCAAGTGATTAACTACATTTATTCTAGCTGCGTCATTGCACTTAATTTTATTAGAAGGAAAACTTGAACACCCCCCCTGAATAAATGCATGTATTTATACTATTTGTAGCATTCACAGACGTTAGCATTGTCTTCGATAGTATTGTTCCTTTATTTGCGTTGCCTAACCCAGCGTATTATCAGATAGGTACACCTAATTATTACAAGTCTAGTAGAAACATAACAAGCGGAATATAAAAATGGCATGATTATTAGTAATAGGACAAATTATTACGACCCCTCTGTTCTCTGGTTGATGCATATGCCGCGTGGACTATCTTTCTATTTTGACCTTGTGGCTACGAAGGGATGACGCATTTGGCAATGATTCGCTATGCCCGTTGAACAATGATTGTCTGACGAACAATGATTGTGTGGAATTCATACCAATAGTAATCAGTTGTTGATTGATCAAACATTTATAATAATATTTTATGATGCAGGTGAATACAGGTAAATGCAAGTGAATACAGGCCAATACATACATACATACATACATACACACATACATACAGATAATTGCAAATGAATTCAAATAAGTGCTAATTAATACAGTTATATATAGCAAGTGGTAACAAAACAATTAGACAAAGACACAGGAAATTTCTTCCTTAATGTTGTATGTTAGCAAAGCTTCCACAAAAACCATCCCGGCTGTTTATTGTACCCATAGACGTTATGGTTCTCTTTTTCCAACCATATTCCCAGCCCTGATACTTACGTCTTCCCCACCTGTCCGTTCTTTCCCACCCCTACTCCTTGTTTATTGTCACTTATCTGTGTTGCAAAAATTTGCAAATTGAGCGATGGGCACTCAACCCAAATTAGTCATGTTCATTCACATTCTCGTTTCGTTTTTTTTTTCTTTCTTTTTTGCCACAACCGCAAACGGTATTTTATTTCACTATTAATACCGAATAGTCCTATCCTATTCACCACACGAGGTGATTTCTATCGAAACAACGCGAATAAAATTTAACGATTCCCATCAGCAATTGACACTGAATCACACCCACCAAACACTGATTGGTTCTTAGTCAGCTCACTTACATCCAAACTTACCCTCAAAAGGATGGTTAATGTCTAAATTAGTTACGTAAGAATGAATACAAGACTGAAAGTAATTGACAAGTCGGTAGGAGGGCAGTTCAAATGCGTTTTATTTGTGGTTAGATAAAGCAAGCGCCCCCCCCATGAAGGCGTTTAGATGTCGTGTTGTGTAATCAACTTTAACAAAGAGCGTATGCTCAGAGGTTCGTATAATATTGAAGATAAATAGTAATATATGTGTTGAACTGTATATTACACTTGCGTTCAGTAACTTTTTTTTTTTTCCAAATAATACATAAACTCTAATAACTATATAATTTACTTGGTTTTCCTCATGTCTGGTAATTGAGATCTCTTATCGATCTTCTATCAACTACATCCTGAGGCTGACGTTCACATATACATCATCGTGTTGCGGCTTGAACTATTTTTATTTCAACCTGCATATCTCAACAAGTTTGAAATCAGGCCTTGTGGAAATTGCTTCATGTGAGCTATATATAATTATACAGAATTGTATATACTGTTCTTTGTTAAATATTCAATTAGGAAAATGCAATAGCTGCCGGAATATGTATGTCTAATATATTTTAAATATGAGCGTTCTATAGAGACTTAATATTATTGGAATAACGTTTTAATATGCACGAATACTGATGAACCTCTATCGGCTCATCTAGTAGAGTACAGTTTATCTACTAATCTGCTAATCCGCTAGTATACCGCAGATGTATTCTCTACTGCATAAGTTGAGTTTTTAACCCCCCATTGGGCGAGAGTAACTTGACCGGTACTTAGCGATCTATATATACTGTTACAATAAAACATGTTCGCTGGTCAAACGTACCGCCATTCAAATATAGACTTTCTGAGGCACAATGACCCTTATGTCGAAAAAGTCTTCTTGTGTACTGGTAAAAAGAACACGTGTCACTACCGATTATGTAATGAATAGATCACCCCTCAGGAATTAAATGATGTTTGAAGAAATTATGTCACACTTGTTGCATATTAATAACGATATATAGCATGGACAGTAAGACCTCAAATAATCACGTGTTTATTTATGTAGCGAGACTTGGAAAATTTCTTTTACTTGATATTCGATTATGAGTAAGTACAGGCAATATATATAAAAATTATAAGCAAACAAAAAAGTACGGAAAACTGTTCGTTTATCCCATCAGAAGGACAATATATGGCTTTATCTTTTTTTTTTTCATTTTACTTTTTTTACTTTTTTTTACCTTTCTGTTGGCTTTTCTCCCTTATCCGACCGTGTAACAATATTAAATCAAAAGTCCAAGAATAACCAACGGAATCAAGTAGAAAGTAAGGAAAATCTATACAATAACCAGTAATCAACAACCAGCAATCAATCACCAGCAATCAATCACCAGTATAGCCGAGCTTTCTATTTATATGTCTAGCTATCAAAAGTAATAGAGTCCGATTCTGAGCTAAACTATGTGTGATGTTCTTGATGAGAAGTAAGAATAGCCCAATAAATCCCAAAATGAATACAAGTCTCAGCCAGGTAAATTCTACGTTCCAAACTACTCATCAGAACCAACTCGCAAAGCTACGCTCATAACAATTAACCCAACACCATCGACTCCCTATCAAACTCTGCTCACTTGCTCAACCCTCCTATATTTACTCCTTCTACCGTTGTCTTCCTCATCCAACTCGCTCTCACTACTCGATTCTCTCCTATTATTTCCTTCATATTCTATCTGCTGTGGTAGCGAATCTACTCGTATAGTTTTTCTGCCAAATCTACCTCTCTTTGATGAAGATGTTATCTGGGTGGAGACCACGGGCGGTGGTGAGTAGGTTGTCGGTTCAGGCGACGGAGATGATGATTGGAGGGATGAGGCTGGGTCAGAGTAAGGTGTTTGAGGACGTTCTGTGCGAGATCCTCCGTTGGATGAGATGGTTCGACGCATTGGTTTTATCGATCTTATTTGCTTTCCCTCTTTGTCGTCACCCTGTAATTTTCGCCTGTTACGTGGTTGTACCCGATCCTCATCACCATCAGCCTCACTCTCAATTTCACTTTCTTCCTTCTCACTTTCTGATACATCCATATCTTGAATCGCGCTAGGTAGCCTCTTTCCGGCTATATATGTTGTTCTATTGCCTGATAGCCTTCCACTATCCTCTCTAGTTTGAGGCGACGGCGGTGTAGGTTGCAACGGACGCATACGATAATCGTGTACATGTTGTTCCGAATGTCCGTCTTCTCTGCCTTTAGGCGTTGGAGGAGTCGGCTGTTGCGGGCGAGAGAAGGAAGATTTTTCTGTGTGTTCCACCCTGTTTTTGTAAGAATGAGAATGCAAATCAGAATCAGAATCAGAATGCGAAAAGGGATGCCCTGCGAAGACAGCAGGCCGCAAGGTGAAGGTTTAATCCGGCCCGGTGCGAGAATACCGGAGTTGTAACGATGGGAATTGAAATAAGTGTAACTCGAAATAAAAATTTCTCGCAGACTAAACTAGGCTATTATACATTATTAGCGTCAGAGAAGCTCCATCCTCCGAAATTGATTTCTTATCTTTTATTACTGCGTCGTTACATTATGACCAATTTGTATGTGTAATTATGTTAGACAAAAATGCTTACCGTCTACCACTACTGGAAGAATTCACACGCCCGTGGGATTGTTCTGGCTGTGAATCGGAGTATTTTGTAGAGTGTGAGAAAGTATGTGAGTGATGTTGGTGTTGGGCGACTGATGACGACGATTGCGGATGGCTTATTTGTGATTTTTGTGTTTCTCGTCGTTTCCATGCTTCTCTTATCTTGGGAGCGTGCGCAATCAATTGCTCTTTTGCTACAGCATCCCTTATAGATTCTTGTATTTTCGTTACGACAGAGCTATGATTCGCATGCTCCTTATCGTCACGGAATCGCAAGAATTTCCATGGTGCTCTCGAATCTGCCGTTGGGTCATAGACTGCCTCTACAATTCGACCACTCAGATTCGGAATATTGCGAAAAGTATTCTCCCATTCTTCATCAGTTACAGTCATTTCACTGAAAAATGCGTGTTCATTCCTTCGCAACCACTTCTTTAAGATAAACTGTGGTTTCACTGTGTAGTCTGGTCGACCCTTTGTTTTTGGGTATTGAACTTCTAATAATAGGTCTATTGAATTTTCATTAGCTGGCTTCCATTTTAACCTACATCAAACACAGAAGATTAGTACGACATGAAAGCATAGTATCAGTAGAAACCATTTGCAAAACCCGATAAAAATAGATCCTACATACATTTTCTCACAAGTGCCCGGAATATACTCTGCTACTGCTGATGTGAATATTAACCCATCATTTTTGTGCTTGAGTTTGGGGATTACCTCATCAAAGACCTTGAGGACGCCATATGAAAGCTCCATTTGTTTTACTTCCACACTATGTATAACGAACAATGGCGTTTATTTAGAGCGACCGTCTTGTCTTTGTAACATCGCGAAGACATTCCAATGACTTACACAAATGGTTGGCCAGTAGCTATACCAGGATTGCTCTTTCGATGTGCGGCGTAAGGTTTAATTAGGGATTCGCAGAGATACTTTAAAACGCAAATGAATGTATAGTTAGTTAAGCGGGTAATTAATTGGACAAGATCTTTATTGAGCGGCTAGATCTGACTATGAAAAATGGTTACGATGCTTTTAGACATTGAATAGAGTTACATACCCCAAGTCTTTTAGTTAATGGACGTTCGAGCAGACTTTTACCCATAAAAGCCAGGCAGTCGAAAGCCAACAGTTTAAGAGTAGTCTATTATACAGAATAACAAATGGTTTGTTAACACTTTTAATATTATTTTACGAGGTTACTAAATTTGTCGCATCAGTTGTCGGCCAAATATCT